CCGCCGTCACCGCCGCCACTGCCGCCTCGGAACCCGGGCCTGGGGGGCGGTGGGGCCGCGCATGGAGCCCCCGCCCCCCGGAGCTGCCAACACCGCCGCAGCCCTACGCACAGGTGAGCCTGGGCCTGGAGGTTGGAGGGATTGGTCCGTGACCCCACGTATCCTTCCCGCCCCCGCGCGAGGGACGTGGCTTGGCCCGTGGCCTGCGGGTGTTCGACTCCCCACCGCCACCACCGCGGTTGATGGACTTGCCTGTGGCATTGTCTCTTTCTTTCGCCCCTTGTAATGTATCTGGCCGTGGCCTAACCCCCCTTCCTGTTTAATAGTGGGTCGGTTTGCGTGCTTACATTTCTCCCCATCTCACTTTACAATGGACTCGTCCATGGTCTTGCCCTCAACCCCCACTTATAGGGGACCAGTTTTTGGCATTGTCCAACTCTTTGACAGTAGGTCCGTCTGAGTGTATTTCTCCTCCCCTCAACTTTCAGAAGCCCCGTCTGTGGCCTTGTTTGTTCCACCCCTCCTGTTCCTTGTAGTGAATCAATCCGTGGTGTTTTACCCCCTCCACTCCTCTTGAACAGTAAATTAATCTGTGAATTTGTATTCCTGCCTCCTCCAATCCCCCAGGACATCAGTCCATGGCTTTATCTCACACACGCAGGCACACACCGTTTTACAGTGGATCAGTTTAAATCCTTGTATTCACATCCCCCTAGTTATCAGCCCTTTGCCCTATCCTCCCTCTTTTGTAGTTTGTCAGTCCTCCTCTAGTCCTTGGGATTCTCCCTTCCTTTTAACAGTGGGTCAATTTAGTGTTTCATATCTTCCCATAATCAGTAGCCCAGTCCATGGCCTTGTCCCCTTCTCCTTTTAATCAGTTCCTGTGTGATGACTTCTCTCCCCCTCCACTATTGTGCAGCAGTCAGTGTGCTTTTCTGCACTCCTTGCCCAGTAAATAAGATAAGCCTTTACCACACCACCACCCGGCCTTTGCAGTGGATCTGTTCCGTAAGCCTTTTTGCTACCCATGTGCTTGCATTCACAGTCCAGTGCTTTGTAATCCCTCCTCCAGGAGAGTATGCCTGTGTGTGTTTATTTTCCCTCTTTTCCTTGTAGTGGATCAGTCATGGCCTTGCCTGACCCCCTCCCTCTTTCTTAATAGTGGATCAGCTTATGTGCTTGTTGAACCCAGGTCATGCACACTGTTAACCATTAAGACATTCTTCATCACAGTAAATGAATATATTACTGATCACGCTAATAGGAGCTAACATTTATTGAGCACCTAGTAACATTTGAGTACCAGGCAAAGTGCTTTATATTGAGCTCACCATAACCCTACTAGATAGGTACTGAGGAAACTGGCATAGGGAGGTTAAATACCTTACTCAAAGGTGGCCCAGTAAGTACCAGGTTAGGGTGCCCCTCAGAACAGGATAATTTTTGAAGCTCCCCTTTCTCACCTCATCCCATCCCAGGAGAGGCCCTACTCCTTAAAAACCAAATTAGTTTCATCTCTAAGCTTTTGTTTTTGCTGTTCCCTCTGTCTGCAGAGCTGTCTCCATTGCACATCTTGTCTCAGCATCTGTCTACTCCCAACCCTGGAAGCTGTGTAACCTTAGTGATTTAACCACTCTCTCTCAGCACCTGTTTCCTCATTTGTAAAATGGGGGGATCAGAACTAGAATCCCCTCCAGTATAAATAAAGAATACCTGTGAGTTAATAATGAAACAAGTAACCTCTCTGGCCTTACCTCCTACACTCCCAACTCTGTTCCAGCCTCCTCACTTGTCTAAGGGCCTTTACATTGGCCATTTTTTCTGCCCAGAACACTTTACCCCCAATCTCTGCATGGTTCCTTTTGGGGCTCTGTTCAAATGTCACCTCATCCCTGACCATCTGAACCTGCACACCTAGCAGGGCTCAGGCCCCTTCCCTGCTTTATTTCTCCCTTTGCCCTTTATTAGTCTGGATCACACTGTAGTTTACCAGTTTATTGTGTTGTCTCTCCCCATTAGGAGTCCCATGAGGGCTTACAGTTTTTGTCTGCTTAGTCACTGCTGGGTCTCCAGCACCTAAAAATATACCTAGTATATAATAGGTGCTTAGTATAAATTTATTGTATGAATGAATGCGGAAAATATAATTTCAGACAAATCAGGGTGGGGGCAGATGAGGATGAAGAGGGCATATGAGAGCTAGTTAAGAGCCTAGTTAGTTGGGACTTTTCATTCAACAAACACTTATTGAGCACTTACTAAGTACCAGGCACTCTTCTAGGTGCTGGAAATGTGGGAGAGAACAAAATAGGCAGACATTCCTTCCCTTGTGGAGCATACATTTGTTAAAAATGGAGGAGACAGACTATATAAATAAAACAAATAAGTAAAATTAGTATGTTAAACAAGTGCTAAGGAAGAAAAGTGAAGTGGGGAAGGTAGGAATAGAGTATTGGGGTGGTTGAAATCTCAGGCACAGGGCAGGCCTCACTTAGAAGGTGGCTCTTGAATTAAGGCCTGAAGGAGGTCAGAGAGGAAGCCATAACATAATGTCTAGTGGAAGAGTACACTGGACAGAAGGAACAGCTGATGCAAAGGCCCTGAGGTGAGATTGTGCCTAGCATGTTCACAGAGGAGGCCAGTGTAGCTGGAGCAGAGTGGAGGGAGGGATAGGAGGCAAGATCTAAGACATAAGAGTAGCCAGGTGGTATGGGTCACAGTGATACGTAAGGTTGCTGGGAGAGGTTTGGGGAGGGTGAAGGATGATACCCTAGCAAATAGCTAACATTTTTTTAAATATATATTTTTAATTGATTTCAGAGAGAGGAAGGGAGAGATAGAAACATCAATGATGAGAGTCATTGATCAGCTCCCTCCTGCACACCCCCTGCTGAGGATCGAGCCTGCAACCCAGGCATGTGGCCTGACCAGGAATCAAACCTCGATTTCCTGGATCATAGGTCTATGCTCAACCACTGAGCCATACTGGCCAGGCTCTAACATTTCTTGTGTGTCTGCCATGTGCCAGAGATATTTTTCTAAGTCCCTTACATATTTTGACATTTAATCCTTACAAAAGCCTTTGAGAGTAGGTGTATTTTGAGGATAATTTACTTTGAGAACGAAATATCCCCATTTTACAGATGCAGAAACAGAGAGGTTGAATAACTTGCTCAAGGTCACACAGCTAGAACAGGGCAGAGGAGTATAAGGCTAAAGACCCAGAGAGAATAGCTTTGCAAAGGAAGACAGGTTATTCAGTGCATTGGATCACAAGAGGAAGAATTAATTCTACCTAGGAGATAAACAGAACTGGATGATTGTGTGATAAAGGGTTCATCGGGTATGGGAAGGGAGAAGGGCATTCCTGGCAGGGAGAACAGTACATAGATAGTCTCAGAGATGGGAACTGGGTGAACCCACAGGGTGTCCATGATATAGTATGCAAAGCTTGTGCCTACCTTGGAGCCTTTGTACATGCTGTTCCCACTGCCCAACGCACTCTTCCCACAGATGTCAGCGTGGCTTGCTACTTCTTCAGGTTTCTGCTCCAATGTCACTTCCTCAGGAAAGCTCTCCCCACTCACCCTGTGTAAAAGAGCATCCCTGTCACCCTCTAGGATCTTACCCCTCTGTTCCTCTTCATGAAAAGCTGATGTTGTAAGGTGGCTAGGATCACTGACTGTGTTTGAACCCTGGCTCTGCCAATTTCCAGCTGTGTGACCTTGGGCAAGTTACTTAACTTTTCTGTGCTCCCATTTCCTTATCTGGAAAATGGGAGGGTAATAATAATATCCACCCCATAGTGTTACTTTGAGGATTAAATGAGTTAAATGGTGTGCAGCACATAGTAAGGGCTGTATGTCTGGTTCCTATTTTTTATTTGTTTTGTTTTTTGTTTTTTAATCCTCACCCAAGGATATTTTTTCCATTGCTTTTCAGAGAGAGTGGAAGGAGGCAGGGGAGAGAAAGATCTCAATTGGTTGCCTCTGCACATGCCCGGACCAGGGCTGGGGATCCATCCTGCAACTGAGGTATGTGCACTTGGCTGGAATCAAACCCAGGACCCTTCAGTCCGGAGGCCGATGCTCTAACCACTGAGCAGACCCAGCCAGGGCTGGTTCCTATTTTTTTAAATTAATATTATTAGTCACAGCATGCAGGTAGGTGTCTAATAAGCCTCTGAGACTGACCATGTCCAAAACTGACCTCCTCATGTCCCCTCAAAACCTCTCCCACAGTGCTCCCATCTTGGTTGATCCCAGCTCTGTCCTTCCAGGTGATCAGGGCAGAAATTTAGAATCATCCTTGGTTCCTCTCTCACCCCCATCTTTTTTTTTTTAATATGTTTTTTTGCTTTTAGGGAGAGAGGAAGACAGGGATAGAGAGGTAGAAACATTGATTGGCTGCCTCCTTCACGCCCCTTACTGGGGATCGAGCCCACAACCCCAGGCATGTGCCCTGACCAGGAATCAAACTGGGAACCTCTTGGTTCTTAGGTCGACGTTCAACCACTGAGCAACACCAGCCAGCTCTCACCCCCATCTTATGTCAGCAAATCCCACTGCTCCCACCACCATCTCTCACTTTGGACTATTGTAGTAGCCTCTTTATCCAGTAGTTGGTTCTCCTCACAAGAGCCAGAGGGCTCCTCTTAACAACATCCAACAGCCTGTCACCCCTTTGTTCACAACCCTCTCATGGCTCCTGTCTCACTCAGAGTCAAAGTCCTTACAGGCCCCGAAAAAGGCTCCCTCAGTCTGGCCCCTGTTGCCCCTCTGTTCTCACCTCCTACTACTGTCCCCCTCACTCCCTCCTGTGCAGCCATGCTGAACTCCTTTCTCGTCCTCCAGCCTCAGGACCTTTCTTTTCTTTTTTTTTCTTTTTTATGTATCTTTATTGATTTCATTGAGAGAAAGGGAGAGGGAGAGAGAGAGAGAGAGAGAAACATCAGTGATGAGAGCCATTGATCGGCTGCCTCCTGCATACCCCCAACTAGGGATCGAGCCCGCAGCCCGGGCATGTGCCCTGACCAGGAATTGAACCCCAGTCTCCTGGATCCCAGGTCGATGCTCAGCCGCTGAGCCACGCCTGGCTCAGCCTCAGGACCTTTCACTCTGGCTGTTTCCTCTGCGTGGAAAACTGCTCCCCAAGTTGTCACAAACCTACTCCTTCACCTCTTTTAGGTCTTTGCTCAAATGTCACCTCCTCAGTAATGACCCTCCTATGACTATCCTTTAAAAAATAACTACTTTCCCTGTTTCATTTTTTCCCTTAGTACTATCATCATTTGACATTCTTTACTTGTTTATCTTGTTTCTTTTCTCTTTTCCCCACTACAATGTCACTTGCACTAGAGCACCTGGCCTACAGTAGGCATTCAAATGCTTGCTAAATAAATGAGATGAAGAGAGGTAAACATTTGAATAAGACAGATTACTAGAACTCCTATTAGGGGTCAAATAGGAAATGTAATAATAAAATATAAAACCCTGTGTGTTCTTGAGGCTTGAAGCAGACTGTCAGATTTCACCTAAATTGATAGGTTCTGTTGCCACTGAAAGAACAACTGCTAAAATTGCCTGTCTTTGCCACTAGGAGTCACACTAAACTCTTAGTGCCTCTGAAACAAGCAGGCCTTCGAAATAAACTCAGTGAGGGTTCTGATGCCAGGGCTCTCTAACCTGGACACTTCATGGCTTTGTGGCTTGTATAATTGCCTAAGATTTGTGTCTGCTGAATGAACTTCAAAACAGCTCAGACATAAGAGGATTATACTGTATGTTTAATTATACAGATTAAAGAATCAAGCTATAAATAATAGAGGGAGGTTCTCTGAAACCTGATTTGGATGGTCTTATTCTTAACACCTTGCTGACCAGCTATTTCGAGCCAGAACTCGCCCGTGTGGCCAGCTCCTTTTCTGTCATGACTGGTCAGCAACATTTGGACATGGAAATGTGTGTATATTTGTGACCGGTCAGCAAGGTTTTAACCCAGCAATCCCAGCCAGTGAACAGTTGTTTGACAAAAACTCATTCTGTAAGGAATAAGAAACTCGTGTTTATTTCCTATTCATGCTCAGCAAAGAGAGCGGTTATGGGGGAACAGGGAAGGTCCTGTTCTCTGCAGGACATGCTGAGGGAGCAGTGTGAAGGGCAATTTAGCCTAATGGTTTGAAAGCTTAGACAACTGGAACCTGACTGCCTGGGTCCAAATCCTGGCTCTGCCACCTAGAACCATGTGGCCTATAGACATTATTTAGACATTTTATGCCTCAGCTTCCTCCTCTGTAAATTAGCAATCATAAGAATACCTACATCCCAGAGTTGTGACGCGGGAGAAATGAGTCAATATCTATAAAAATAACAGTATAGGTCTATGTGCCCTTATCTAAAATCTTTGGGGCCAAATGTTTCAGAATTTCGAATTTTTCAGATTTTACACAGGTAACAAGGTGTACATACAAGATGTTACATAACACCCTTAGTGTGCTCTGTAATCAGCCACATTCAGATTTCTGCAGCAGAATGTATGAACAGTCACACTAAGTAAGGACCAATAAAAACCACAGAGGGCTTTGTTTTGTTTCAAATCAGGTTTTACTGCCAAAAGGGTTACAAAGAAGCCTTTTGTTCTTAGAGCATTTTGGAATAGCGAATACGAGATTATGAACAAATCAGAAACGATATTTGTTTAGAGCTTATCATACCCAGGCATATTATATTTATTCTGTTCAATAATACTATGACCTAGGTGGTATTATTATTATCCCTATTTTGCAGATGGGGAAATTGAGGCACAAAGTTAAAGAATGTGTCCAGGGATCACACTGCTAACAAGTCGCAGAACCAGGCAGGATTCCAGCCCTGGCAGTCTGGTTGTACAGCCTGGGTGATTGTCCAGTAAGCCACGTTGCCTGATTGGAACAATGCCTGGCATGTATTAAGCACTCAATAAATGGCAGTTATAGCTGTTACTAAGAAGGAGAACATACAGGGACAGTAACAGGTCTGAGGAGTGTGGGTAGAAGGACAGAGGAAAGCAGGCATTTAGTTCCAGAAAGGCTTCATAAAGGAAAGGCCCTTGGAGCTGGGACTTGGACAATGAAGACTTCTAGACAGAGTAAGGGAGCCCCACATGGAGTGAACAGCCTTTAAGAGGAGCTGGCAGAAGGAACCTCCTAGAAAGCTTGATATTTGGCGTGGTAGAAAATGAAAATGTTTGGGTGAGGGGCATTATAGTAGTTTTCTATTACTGCCGTAACAAACTTAGCTGCTTAAAACAACACAAATTTATGATTAGTTACAGTTCTGTAAGCCAGAAGCCCAGCACAGGTCTCACAGGGCTAAACCCAGGTGTCAGCAGGGCTGCATTCCTTTCTGGAGGCTCAAGGGGAGGATGGGTTTCCTGCTCATTCAGGTTGGTGACAGAATTCAATTCCCTGATGTAGTAGGATTGAGGTCCCTGTTTCCTTACTGGCTGTCAGCAGGGGGCCATTCCCAGCTTTAAGAGGCCACCACATTCCATCTTCAAAGCTAGCAATGGTAGGTTGAGTTCCTCTCATGCTTTGAATCTCTTCTGCCTCTTCTGCCCTCACATCTCTCTGAGCTACCTTTCTCCCTCTTCTGCTTTTATTAAGTTTATGTAATTAGCCCGGCCGGGCGTGGCTCAGTGGTTAAACGTCGACCTAGGATCCAGGCGATCAGGGTTCGATTCCTGGTCAGGGCACATGCCCAGGTTTCGGGCTACAGCTGATCAATGACTCTCTCATCATTGATGTTTCTATCTCTCTCTCCCCCTCTCCTTTCCTCTCTCTGAAATCAATAAAGATATATTTTTTAAAAAAAAGTTTATGTAATTAGATTGCACACAAAATAATCCAAAATAATCTCCCTATTTTAAAGTCTGTAACCTTAAATTCATCTGCAAAGTTCCTTTTAACATGTAATATAATACACTCACAGGTCCCAGAGATTAGGATGTGGACATCTTTGTGGGGATATTACTCTGTCTACCACAGTCTGCCATCTGGCTCCCAAAGATTTACATTTATCCCACATGCAAAATTCCTTCATACTCTCCTAGTGTCCCCCAAGGTCTCATCCCATTACAGGGGTCATCCAAGCCAGGCTGAGGAGCTTAGAATTTAGTTTGAGGGTGTTTAAGGAATGATGGTGGGCTTTGGGGACAGAGGTGGAAGCAAGATGGCAAGGAAAGAATCCTGCTGACCTCTGCCCCATCCTCTGTCCACAGCCTCTTGTCTCTGAACCATCTGCCCTCCAGGTATCCCTACAATGGCGTGAGCACTTCCCCAGCGATGGACCCCTCTGTGACGCTGTGGCAGTTTCTGCTGCAGCTGTTGAGAGAACAGGGCAATGGCCACATTATCTCCTGGACCTCACGGGATGGTGGTGAGTTCAAGCTGGTGGATGCTGAGGAGGTGGCCCGGCTGTGGGGACTACGCAAGAACAAGACCAACATGAATTATGACAAGCTCAGCCGGGCCTTGCGGTACTACTATGATAAGGTAAGGCCTCAGAATAGGGCTGGAAACCCCCAAATTTTTAGCAGTTATTTTCTTAAATGCTATAACTATAACTTTGAAACCAACATTAAACTTTACCATTTCCTACCCTATCCTCTGGTACACTCAGACCAATGTTGGGCTCCCCCAAACATTTTATCTCAGTTATTTTCTTGTCTTACTACTTTGGCTAAAATCTTCAAAGTCATGCTATCCCACTACACCCCACACATTTCATTTTCTTACCTTATTCCTACAGCCAAAACTTGAAAACGCTATTAATAATGACTTTTTTTTTTTTT